TACTATCATGAGTTGCTTCCTATCTCGTGTGCTATCATGAGATGCTTCTTATCTTGTGTGATATCATGAGATGCTTCTTATCTCGTGTGCTATCATCAGACGCTTCTTATCTTCTGTACTATCATCAGACGCTTCTGATCTCGTGTGCTATCATGAGATGGTTCTTATCTCGTGTACTATCATAAGACGCTTCTTATCTTGTGTGCTATCGTCAGACGCTTCTCATCTCGTGTACTATCATAAGACGCTTCTTATCTTGTGTGCTATCATCAGACGCTTCTTATCACGTGTACTATCATCAGACGCTTCTTATATTGTGTGCTATCATCAGACGCTTCTTATCTCGTGTACTATCATACGACGCTTCTTATCTTGTAGTCTATCATCAGACGCTTCTTATCTCGTGTACTATCATCAGACGCTTCTTATCTTGTGTGCTATCATCAGACGCTTCTTATCTTGTGTGCTATCATGAGATGCTTCTTATCTCGTGTGCTATCATCAGACACTTCTTCTCTCGTGTGCTATCAGGCGCTTCTTATCTCATCATCAGACGTTTCGTATCTCTTGTACTATCTTCAGACGCTTCTTATCTCATATACTATCATGATATGCTTCTTATCTAGTGTGCTATCATCAGACGCTTCTTATCTCGTGTACTATCCTCAGACGCTTTTTATCTCGTGTGCTATCATCAGACGCTTCTTATCTCGTGTGCTATTATGAGATGCTTCGTATCTCGTGTGCTATCATCAGACGCTTCTTATCTCGTGTGCTATTATGAGATGCTTCGTATCTCGTGTGCTATCATCAGACGCTTCTTATCTCGTATACGTTCATGAAATGCTTCTTATCTCGTGTACTATCATCAGACGCTTCTTATCTCGTGTGCTATCATCAGACGCTTCTTATCCCGTGTACTATCCTGAGACGCTTCTTATCTCGTGTACTATCATCAGGCTCTTCTTATCTCGTGTAGCATCATCAGACGCTGCCAATGTATTCCTGTCACTTTGTTGAGCTTACTGGGCGTGTACGGTGCAAATCAGTCAGAGGCACCAGATTGTGTGTAATCGTAGCAGCACCTCACCACCAGGACCCGTATGCCTTTTGATACGTTCTTAAGTATGCACGCGCAACCATAAAAGCTATGTGCGGTCATATATAGTTACGCACACGTAAAAATACAAAACAAACCACGCACATGTATGATTTATATGGACGTCCAATTTCTGAGATGTGATCGTCCTCGATATGGATAATCGGTGACTATTGATGTTCCACACTCGCAAACCTAATTGATCGTTTGTTTTTGTTGTTGTTGCATCTGTAATTCGTACCTTACAGCAGGCCGGTAATAGGGCCAAACCCTGCACTGTTTCGCACTAAGAAGCACAGCAACACAACACGAGCTCATGCAGATACACTCGGGCACTCACAAGCATCTGAGAGGGGCAGTGACAAGGAGAATCGAGCGTATACGGACGCAGGGGTTAGTAAATTCGAGTCGAATGTGAGCTATTTGGACGATATGAGCAAGAAACGGAGCGGCAACAAGCCGGGGCGTGGGAGCGAGGGCAAGCTCAGAGACGGTGTGTGGGATAGTTCTAATAATAGACACGGGCATAAGCCAAACAAGATAGGCGAGTTACCTACCAAGCGGCAGAAAGCGCCGCGTTTGCCGACGAGACTGGACACGGGCACAGAGGAGAGTGTGAAGGATGTCTTTGCTTTTACTGAACCCAACGAACCGAATAAGAGGATCCAAAAGGAAAAGTGGATCAAACCACAGGTATGTCTTAGATACGGTGTTTATAAACGAGATACACGGAGCATGTATAAGGTAGAGATGGACGAGTGGATTGTTAGGGCCGGGCCATGCCATGTGTTGCGGGTAGTGCAGGTTATATCCTGCACGCAAACGGATGGCTTGCGTGTTGACTCAAGCTTGCACGTGGTGTATAACCTCCTGGGGCTTTACATGGTGTGCCTGTTCATATATCGATACCGTGTGTGTGTGGGGGGGGGACGGGTGCATTGTATGGGTTTGTTAGTTTCCGCTGAGACCATTTTAAGGTGGTTTAGGCTAAACTGTGATGTCGGGGTGTGAATGGGTAGGTATGATCTTGAGTGGCATACCGTTCGACAGCTAAACTATGGGGCTGAGTCAGACATGGTTGTCTGAGATAGTCAGAATAAGTGTGTATCGTACTTTATATATATTACACAGTGGCTCGTGTCAAATATGCGAGTTTATATCAACCACATATTGAGTATGTGTCAGAGTGTCATGTTACAATATACTGCCATACAGTGCATGTATCATAGTGTTTGTGTACCATGTTGTGCTAATGTGCGTCAGTATGTTTGCTGACTCCGAGAATTCGAGTGCTTGGTACAGCGTGGACATCTAATTACTCGGTTCTCCGTTGTGCGTGTATTCATTGTTGTTTGGTTGATATACTATGCGAGGATACTGCGTTTATATATAT